CTCTGACTGGCCTCCGTGCCTTATTTAAGGGGTCCCTAACCTTTCTGAGCCTCCAGGCACATTTGGAATTCTGACAGGGCGTGGTGCGCGCAGCAACAAAATGGCTGCCGCAGAATGGCTGCCTCAGGAGGCGGAGCCAGCCACAAAATGATGGCCACAGCTTAACTTCAGTCACACAGCGAAGATCCTTGTGTTGAGGTGGCAGCTGCTGCCAAAGCTACATTTTAAAAAATCTGCACAGACATTGAGATCTCCAATGGTAAATCAGAAGCCTTGTTGGGCAAAAGCCCTACCTGGCCTACCTACTTCCTTAAAAACTCTTGGGGGGGTGCCAGAAAAGGTGTCAGCGGGCACCTTAGTGCCTATGGGCACGACACTGGGGACCCCTGCCCTATCTGTTGACCCTCCAAGGCAATTGGTTGATGACTACGTAAAACAGGATGCTGGACTAGACGGCCCACTGGTCTGATCCAGGAGGGCTCTTCTTATGCTCTATCCAGCCAGCTTTTTCATTCATTCTCTCCCAACTCCTCGCCTTATTACAGGCTTCATCTCACATGGTTTGTGTCCACGCAGGTTCCCCGATCCCCAACGCTCGTTCTATAAATTTGCACGCTACATGCTGCGTTTCAGTCGCAGAACTAAAGCCGGGAACAGGATGCCTTTCCAAGTGGTCTCCCTCCTCCTGGTCTCGCTCAGTGTTGTGCTGATGGAGGAAAACGGCACCAGGTAAGCCCACGATCCAGCAAAAAGAATGCAGGATTTTTCCGCATCCTGTCTAATGCTCTCTTGCTAACCTCTGTCAAAACAAAACCCATGGTCTTGTTTTACGCTAGAAAAGAGCAAGGGTCCAGGAGCACCTTAAAGACCAGCAAAATTTGTGGCAGGCGGGTGATGAGCTTTCATAAGTCACTGCTCACTTCTTCAGATACAGCTAGAATGTGAGTCCATCGGTCCTGTATATTGGACAGTGAAGTGAAGACAGACAGATCTGAAGAAGTGAGCCGTGACTCACGGAAGCTCCTCCCCTGCCACAAATGTTGTTAGTCTTTAAGGTGCTCCTGGACTCTTGCTCTTTTCTACTGCCACAGACAGACTAACACGGCTACCCACCTTGATCGAAAACAAGCCGTGTTTTCTAGCTGCTTCTGTGGGATTGGGTGGCATTAATGAACTTTGAAACCTTGAATTCAGCTTGTACCTATCTTTGTAGCACCCCAGTCCTGTAGACTCCCACCCCCCACTGTCACTGCCTTTTTCCTGTTCCACCCAAAGTGAAACAGCTGCCACAGGTTGGAACTGGAAATAGGTGGCAGAATTTGCCCCGTATTGGTTTTTGCTCACAGTGAGGGTAACAATTGTTGCCTTAGAGCAGGGGTGTGTCGAACTCATTTGTTATGAGGGCCGGATCTGACATAAATGAGACCTTGTTGGGCCGGGCCATGTGTGTCATAAAATGTAATGCCAGGTAGCAGAGATATAAACTTTATAAAGAACACAAACGCAAAGGGGTTTTTTTAACTTAAAAACACTCTTAAAACATCAGCACTCTTGCAATATTTTGTGTATTTAACAGTGTCTGATAACTGACACCTCTTGCCCTGAATTATTACATCAAAATGTCTTTGCTGTTGCAATCTTGAGTATGCTGTTCAGGTGTGTATCTGTAAGCTGCAAACCTACAATGACGCAGCAGCAGCAGAACTGGAAGAAGAAGCAGAAGACAGCCAGTTCCACTGCGAGCCTTGATAGAAGCTCTCCGAGGGCCTGATCCGATCCCCAGGCCACATGTTTGACACCCCTGCCTTAGAGACTTTAGTCGCTTTCCACACTGGGGTTTTGATCCTCTCTGTTCCTGTAGCCTCTTTTCACCTCTGGAAACATCTATATGGGACTCACGTGGAGGAATAGTTGTGTGGGCTGAGAAGGGTGGAGTGAAAAGGGACAGAGTGGTGAAATGTCCCCTCTTAACTATTCCTCAAGTGCAGCTCCACTGACAAAAGGGGACAGTGGTCATTCCTCTCTCCAGCCCACCAACCTACATGGTTGTTCCTCCACCCAGATGTCATGACCTTGGGAGCTATCTTTCCTTGGGCTGGAAGGAGCTATAGCAGGGGTCCCTAAACCTTTCGGGCCTGTGGCCACCTTTTGAATTCTGAGACAGGGTGGTGGGTGCAAACACAAAATGGCTGCCTCAGGAAGTGGAGCCACACACCTGGCGGAAGGCCAAGTGCAGGTGAGAAGGAGGAGGAGGAGAGGAGGAGGAGAAGAGGAGGAGGAGGTTGGATTTATGCCCCACCCTTCACTTGGAGTCTCAGAGCAACTTACAATCTCCGTTCCCCTCCCCTCTCCACAACAGACACCCTGTGAGGTAGGTGGGGCTGAGAGAGCTCTGAGACAACTGCCCTTGAGAGAACAGCTCTGAGTGAACTTGTGACTGACCCAAGGTCACACCAGCAGCTGCATGTGGAGGAGTGGGGGATCAAACCCAGTTCTCCCAGATTAAGAGTCCGCGCTCTTAACCACTACACCAAATTGGGTAAGTTAAAAAAATGCTATGGAGACTAAGGTCCCCAACGTGGTGCCTATGGGCACCATGGCACCCACCAACCCCTTTCTTGGTGCCCATGAAGTGCTTTTGGGAACTGGGCAGGACCAGATGGGGCTCTTGCCCAGCAGGCTTCTCATTGGCCAATGGATATCCATTGCTGCAGTGGCAGCTGCCACCATGGTGCTTGTTCCTTCTCTCACACTCTTTTCCAGTGTATATTTAAAATGCGTGTGGCTCTGCTTCCCGCAGCAGCGATTTTGTGGCTGCAAGCACCAGCCTGTGTTTTATTAAGCTAGTGTAATACCTGTAGTAGGTGGCAACCTCTCTTTGTATATTTCTGGTCACTGTTCTACATCTAATTGTTCCATAAGTGAATGCCTTTTAATATCAGGAAGATATACTGGCATTTCATTTAGAAGTATGACTACATTTGAGAAGAATCGACATATTGGTTCTATAGAAATTATGAGTTGGATCCATCCAGCTTTTTCACTCAAAGTCACCCAGTCTTCCTCCTTACCACAGCCTTTTTCCCACATGGCTTTTGTCACAGAGAGGTTCCATGATCTGCAGCCAGTGTTCCCTCTAAGCTGAGTTACTGTGAGCCAGCTCACAGTTTTTTAGCCTCCAGCTCACAGATTTTTGTCTCGGCTCAAGAAGGATGGCTCGAGAGCAAACTAATTTCTGCAGTGGCCAAATCGCTCGCTCACAACTTTAATGCCCGTCGCTCACAAAGTAGAATTTTTGCTCACAAGGCTCCACAGCTTAGAGGGAGCATTGTCTGCAGCACCTTTTTGGGTGTTCACCGGTAGAAAAACCGGTTGGATCTTACCAGCTGTTGAAGAGCTAGGGACAAGGGAATTTCCCATCTTCTTGTGCTGTGCGGTCACGTTTCCCCTCCGCTGCCAGGGCAAACACAAAGATCCTCCAGAGACGGTATTCCGAGGGGACGTTAGCAAGCGATTACAGTCGAACTCTGGACAACATGCTGAAGAAGAATTTTGTGGAGTGGCTCTTGACCAGAAGAGAAAACAAGATGGAGTAAGTCTCACTTTGGTGCCAACCTAAAGATTCTTGTTTTATCTTTCATTGTCTGAATTCAGACATCACAACTAATTGGGGCTTGATCAAGCTATGTTTTATCATGCTGTCTGTCTGTAGCCTGAGTCAGCCAGGGCATATCTGATTTACTGTCAAGTAAAACATGTGAGGAGCTGCGGTAGCTCAAGTGGTTAAGACGCTGAACTGCAGGCTGTGGAAGGTCAGTAGTTCAGCAGTTCGAGACCCAAGTGTGCCGCATGATGGAGTGAGCTCCCATCTCTAGTTCCAGCTCCTGCCAACCTAGCAGTTCAAAAGCAAGACATTGCAAGTAGATAAATAGGTACCACTTTGGTGGGAAGGTAACAGTGTTCCGTGCGCCTTGGTGTTTATTCATGCCGGCCACATGACCACGGGAACGTCTTCGGACAGCGCTGGCTCTTCGGCTTTGAAACGGAGATGAGCACCACAACCCTAGAGTCGGATTCGACTGGTTTTCGAGCAAGGGAACCTTTACCTTTACCTAAAACATTTGAAACAGTAACATGTTCATCTAGACTCAAGAAAAGTAAAGAGATGGATTTAACAGCTGAAACATTTAGTGCTGTCTGTTGGAATCCTGGAGTTTTACTCTCCCGTACATTTCTCCTCCAGTAACAGCCTTGACCCATCCAAGAGAGAAGTTGAATCCCCAGCATTAAATACACACTTTCAAGGAACTGAAGCTAGATCTCAGGAAGCAAAGGATTTCTTTATTTGCCTTCTGCAACAAAGGTGAGAGCAATGGAATTACTGGTCTGTGAAATTAGGCTACATCTCAGCAGAACAAAGTTCGAGTCCAGTGGCACCTTTAAGGCCAACAAAATTTTATTCAAGGTCATAAGCTTTCGTGTGCAAGCACCCTTCTTCAAATCTCAGCATTTAGTCATAATTCCCCACACTTTCATGGTTTGACAGTCAGAAACTCACAGATACAAACTAATTAATAGGAATGTGCATTCAAGTCTTAGCTAAATGAAAGCCAGTCCAAAACTACCTTGCTCGTTCATAGCATGGTTACAAATAAACTGAATTGCAAAATTACCAAAATTGATAATATTTGGCCCCTGCCACACGGGGGGGGGGGGGTACGGCCAAAGTGCGGCTTTTCAAATCCGCACCAAAAGAGACACACGGCGGCGGGATCAGCCGAACTGCGCGTGCAAAGTTCGGCCGGGAGCCTCGATTGCTCCTGCAGACGAGCGCGCCGGCGATCTCACGGCCACGCTTGCTGCGGTGCTTCAGGTAAGTCCTACCAGTTAGTAGGTTCTTTTTTTGCACTGCATTTTCGTTCTGAAGGGATGGATCAGGAACGGGTGTGCGCCGATTCCTAGATGTTGCGGTGGGATCGTGCCTGTTTTCTGCGTCCCCGATCTGTCCCTCTTCCGGGCCAGAACCTCCCATGTGACCGGGGCCTTTGAAAATCTTCTGATCTTGTTATTCTGATGCCTTGCTAGCTGGCTTAAAGCTCATGGGGGTCAGGGGAAAGGAAGACACTGAGAAGATAATGTAACTGACAGGAACCTTTTCCACCTGCGGAGTTATACAGCTCTTGCCATTAAAGAGATTTGAACTAGTGAAAAAAAGGAGAGGTCCCTTTTTGATCACCCAAAGGTGCTGGGGATCCTGGGACCTGAATGGACAAAAAAGAGGGACACAGGGTTGCTAAGTCCTCCCTGGCCACCGTTGGGGGATTAGAGGGGTTAGGGTTGCCAGATTCAGGTTGGGAAACTCCTGGAGACTTGTAGATGGAGCCTTGGGAGGACAGGGACCTCAGCGGGATACAATGCCATAAAGCAGGGCTATTTTTGGACAGGAACGCACAGGAACGGAGTTCCTGCTGGCTTCAGAGTTGGCCACACCCACTACACCCAAGCCAAGGGAAGGCAGTTTAAACTGCCTCCCCTCCCCTCCAAGGGCTAGCTTGCCCGGGCTCCTCACAGCCGCGGGGCGCCCAGGCAAGCCAAGGGAAGGCATGGGGGTGTGGTCTAATATGCTAATGAGTTCCTGCTGTTGGGTGTGGCCTATTATGCTAATGAGTTCCTGCTGGGCTTTTTCTACCAAAAAAAGCCCTGCCATAAAGTACACCCCCTCCAAGTCCAAGGCATCCATTTTCTCCAGGGGAACTGATATGTGTAGTCTGGAGATGAGCTGTAATTCCAGGGGATCCCCAGGTCCCCCCTAGAGGCTGGCGTCCCTAGTGGAACAAGAGCTCTAATAAGGAAAGGAATTAGGTGAAATAGAGCAAAAACCTGGCTTGATCCAATCCCACATGTTTAGCTTCGATTAATTACATTGTTAATTAATCACCTGACGCCCAGCCTCGAAAAGTGACTGCTTTGATTCTACGTATGCACAATGGCTTCCGTAGGCTTCATAGTCTATTATCTGATGCTGTGCCTGGCTGGCACAATAGCAAATTTGCTTGCACACGCTGATATACAGGCAAGCAGCGCTGCAGATAGAGGACAAGACAAGATACGATGGAAGGAGGCTAAATTTTTGCTTGCACCCCTGTGACCACAGGCAGCTCTGCAGGTTGGGGCAGGCACAGAGGCAATGCCATAACTGACCCCCTCCCCCCACAAAAAATAATAACATCAGGCAGTGTCAATATCTTCTTGTGGGGTGTATCCAGCCAGTTTTTTCACTTGGTAAGCTTGGGGGAATCAGATAGGACAGATCCATACGCTGAAACATATTTCCAGGTTTGCTGGAACAGAGAGATCGCCTATGACAATTTGCACCAGGGTACAGCAGATGGACCCCAAATCTGCTTTGGACCCTTTTATTGTTTCACACAAACCTATGAGACTGGAAAGGTTGGCACAGTATTGTGATCAGGTGGCCCAGGTCAACTCTGCCATGGAAGCTCGCTGGGCGACTTTGGTTATTCTCTTTCAGCTTGACCTACCACACATGCTGGTGGGTGTCAGAATAAAATGGCAGAGGGGTGAGCAATGCAAGCGGATCCGGGATCCCACTGTGGAGAAAAGCAGTGTGTAAATATCTAACCAAAAATAAATTCTCCAATGCCTAGGGACCCTCTCGCTAAGTGTTTCGTTGCCTAGGCAAGCGGGCTCCTGTGTTTTCTTCCAACTCCACCTGTACAATCGTATTTTCACATCTTTCCATTCCCCTCCTTTCAGTCTATGCTATCTCACTGACCCCTGCAGTGTCACAGTATCTCTCTTACAGCCTTATTCTGCCGAATGGTTTTGATCAGTGGAAGGACATTTTGAAGGAGGAATTTCTGGACTGGCTGATTTCTGCTGACCTCTGCAGGCCAATGTGAGTGAATCGCTCTTATTCGTTTCCCCTTTCCCCTCAGGGCTGGTCAGATTGTGCAGGCAACCCAAGTGGTCACACAGGAGCGGCAGCCTTTTAGAGGTGCTAATGAAGCAGCAAATCGTCTGAGAGATGAAGCATGGATTGCTGTAATCCTGCTACATTGACTGCTAGCTGTGTTGGCTGCTCTCAGATACTGGGATGGATCCTACCAGCTTTTCCACGGGAGCAAAAGGGAGGCGGTACCATATGGCCTGATTTTCCTCCTCGCTACAGCTCCACCCCATGTGGGGGTTGTGCCCCTGCAGGCCCCACAATCCTCAACATTGCCTCTGGGGTAGGGGGCTAAATGGCTGCCCTCCAACGCAAGCAGAAAACCTGGTATGGTCTAACCCATTGCCAAATGTTACTGTTCTTGCAAACTCATTGGATTGCCAGCAGAAAACTTGGTACGGTCCAACCCACTGTCAAATGTTACTGTTCTTGCAAACTTATTGGATTGCCAGCCCTGAGCTGGATAGCCCAGGCTAGCCTGATCTCATCAGATCTTCGAAGCCAAGCAAGGTTAACCCTGGCTAGTATTTGGATGAGTGACCTCCAAGGAATACCAGGGCATGACGCAGAAGTAGGCAATGGCCTTACTTGCCTTACAAGTCTTTACAAACAAGTCTATCTTGCCATCGAGTGGCGCATGATGCTAAAAAGAGCTAGAACTATTGGATTGCCAGTGGTGAATAGCAGCCATTTTCAGGGGAATTGAACTTAGTCACCCGGAGATCTGTTGTAATTCTGGGACATCCCCACCTCCAGTTGGAGGTTAACAACCCTCCCGTCTCTAGTTCCAGCTCCTGCCAACCTAGCAGTTCGAAAGCAAGAAATTGCAAGTAGATAAATAGGTACCACTTCAGTGGGAAGGTCACAGCGTTCTGTGCGCCTTGGTGTTTAGTCATGCCGGCCACATCACCACGGAAACGTCTTCGGACAGCGCTGGCTCTTCGGCTTTGAAACGGAGATGAGCACCGCAACCCTAGAGTCGGATTCGACTGGCTTTCGAGCAAGGGAACCTTTACCTTTACCTTTTTTACCATGACAAAAATTCACAGTGCGTGTGAGTGTGTGTGTAGTTGTTAAAAGGGGGGGAAATCACAGAATCATTTCGAGGAGAATTAGATGGAGGGTTGGTTTCGGCTCTGTTGGATACAGATGTAATGAATAAGCATAGTATGCAAGGATTGAGAGCAGAATGCCCAGTCCAAAGCATCACAGAAGGCTGTAGTGGTGCTGTGGCTCAGTCAAAGTGCACCTGCTTTGCATACAGAATGTCCCTGGTTCAGTCCCTGGCATCTCCAGGATCAGATAGGAGGAGACGTGAATGACTCAAAACCCTGGAGAGCAGCTGCCACTCAGAGTAGACAGCATGGCCCTGACCTGGATAGCCCAGGCAAGCCCGATCTCATCAGGTCTCAGAAGCTAATCACGGCCGACCCTGGCAAAGAATACCAGGGTCGGGAGGCAAAGGCAAGCTATCAAGCCGCTTCTCTGAATGTCCTCCATGCCCCAGTAGGAGTTGCCAGAGGTCGTCATGACTTCCAGACATGGGCACCCAGTGGGGGAGATCCCCCAATTAGGCAGGCTCCTTCCTGACGCCGGCCAGCTGGCCCTGCAGGGGAAGTCCCATCTGCAAATGCACACTCCCCCGCCCAACCTCTGGGTAAACCGGAAGTGCTTCTCTGACGTGATGACATCGCTTGTGGGTGACATCATCCCGCCGGGGACACAGGGGGTGACGCTCTGCTTTCTGAGCAAAACTCTATGGCTTGAGGTCAGATTTGAGGTCAAGTTTCCTATAGAGTTTTGCCCAAAAAGTAGAGCGTCTCCCTAGATGTCCCCAGTGTGATGATGCCAGATCTTCAGGCTCGTTATGAAAGTTAATATTTTTCTCCTTCCATTTCCAGGGGACAGTAGCCCCAGGGCTTCCTGAAGAAAGAAGACGGATTCACTTCTGTCCCTTGTTGGTTTTGTACCTTTTGCTCACGAGAGTTGAACTTCATGATGATGATGCAAAAATAATAAAAGAATCTGTGCTCCTGTGGAGATGTGCTTGAGAGTTGCATTCAATGAGAACAAAGCATATCTCAGCTTGTTGTGTTCCGGAAGAGAACCCTAGTTTAATCGATTAATAACTTTTGCTAATCAAGCAGTTGGTGAGGCAGTGAGGTGCTACTGATCAACGGGAGGAGACTCTGGATCAATGTTCCCTCTAAGCTGTGGAGTCCTGTGAGCAAAAATTCAACTTTGTGAGCTACCAGCATTAAAGTTGTGAGCAGGCAGGTGATTTGGCTACTGCATAAATTAGTTTGCCCTGGACTGGAGCCATCCTTCCTGAGTGAAGACAACAATGTGTGAGCTGGAGGGTGAAAAACTGTAAGCTAGCTCACACTAACTCAGCTTAGAGGGAACACTGCTCTGGATCCACCTTCAGTGGTGAAGCTCACCAGGTTGTTTGATCCACAGTTCGGAGCTATATTCAAATCCAGTCAGCCGCACTTTGGAGCAGTGTGGTACAGTTGCTAGTTTGCAGCAGTGCCCCCATGAAACACCCAGATCCTGATCTTTGCTCAGACACACATGATTGACTTCATGAGATTTAAAACCTCTGCCTTTCAACTTGAAGGTTTTATGGCCAGTCACAAATACGTTTGAAGGGCAACAGTACAATGACAAAATGCCACAACCAACTAGAACAGCGAAAGGGGATGGCCCGATGCTCAACACCTGGCCAGACAGGCTTCACCGGGTCCAGAATAGTCTGCTGGACTTGACAGAATGTCTCGGCAAAATGGAGGTTGGCTAGTGAAAGGAATGTGAGGCTGGGACAAGCCACTCAAGGTGGCTGACTCCGAGCCCCTGAGGCAATGGCTGGCCCATCAAGGAAGGAGCTAAGGCAGGGCTCTCCAATTTTTCTGAGCCTGTGAGCTCCGCTGTAATTCAGTCACAGGGTGGTGGGTTGCAGCCACAAAATGGCTGCCACAAAATGGCTTCTGAGTGGAGCCAGCCATACAATGGCTGTTTATTTTTATTTATTTATTCGACTTTTATCCCGCCCTTCCGCCGAAGCAGAACTGTTGTAGTTCACCTTCAGTCTCATAGCAAAGATCCTTGTGCTGTGGTGGCAGCTGCTGCCAAAACAACATTTTAAAAAATCCACACAGCCAATCAAATGTCCAATGGCCAGTGAGACGCTCTGCCAGGCAAAAGTCATACCTGGCTACATCCGCGTTCTAAAAACACTTGGTGGGCACCCGGAAAGGTACTGGCAGGCACCATAGTGCCCATGGAGACCCCTACATAAGATATGCAGAACCTTCAGGAGAGGTCTAGAGAGCAGCACAACCCAGCACAACCAAGGCGCCATGGCAAATTGTATTGCGTATTTTGACAGAATCAAGGCTACACAGCTGCCCCATCATACCCAAGGTTTCTTCACACCAGCTCTCATTCAGAAGAAAAAGAAGAAGAAGAGATTGGATTTATACCCCGCCCTTCACTACCCAAAGGAGTCTCAGAGGGGCTTACAATCTCCTTTCCCTCCCCCTCCCCACAACAGACACCCTGTGAGGTAGGTGGGGCTAAGAGAGCTCTCCTGAGAACTGCTCTTTCAAGAACAGCTCTGACAGAACCATGGCTTGCCAAGGTCATCCAGCAGCTGCAAGTGGAAGAGTGGGGAATCAAACCAGTTCTCCCAGATTAGAGTCCGTGCACTTAACCACTACACCTAACTGGCTCTCAAACAGGCCAATCAGATTCTTCTCAGCCAGTTTTTTAATTTAGATGCAAAAGAGGCATGACCGATCCACCTGTAATCCCTCTCTGCCTTCTCTGATTGGAGGAGTGAAAAGTACGCAGACGGAGAGTGATTTCAGCAAAGCGTACTTTATTCGATCAGGAACAAGACGACCTGGGCCGGCTTGCAGGCCGGCTTATATCCCCCGAGAAATCGCCACCCAAAACACACTCCTACTACCTAATAGGTTATTTACAGTGGCCGAGAGTCCCATAGGCTCTCGGCCGGGAACCTAGCCCCCTGATTGGAGCGGGCTAGGATCCGCATAGTCCATTGTCTCTTGGAGCGAAGCTCGACGTTTGGGTCTGACCACATGGAGCCCAAGCCGACCACGCGGTCTGGACTGGATACATTACAAGGAGTGTCAGGCCTCTGATCCCCCTAGGGTTGCCAACCTCCAGGTGGGGGTTAGAGATCTCCTGCTATTACAACTCATCTCCAGGTGACCGAGATCAGTTCCCCTGGAGAAAATGTTCCCTTTGGAAGGTATACTCAATGGCATCATACCCCATTGAAATCCTTCCCCTCCCCAAACACTGCCCTCTTCAGGCTCCACCCCCAAAATCTCCAGGTATTTCCTAACCCGGGGCTGGCAACCCTAGATCCCCCTTGCCCTTCCTCCATGCACCTATCAGAAGCCCCAGTTCTAACTTTCCCCCTCCTCCGGGCAACTCTGCTGAAGTCAGTCTTTGTTTTGTTCTGTGCTTGATCCCTATAACTGAGCTCCCTTCCCAGCGTGCCGCCACCATACACCGTTGGCACACACACCATCCTGCACAAATGGCATTTTGCTTCTGCTACATGGTGCGTGCTTGCCTGTGAAATTTCAAAGCCAAGGAAACAATCCAGAGGTCATTTCGGGGGGGATCGCGGGGGATCACAGTTTCCCCCGGGTGAGGCACGGGGGGTGGGGCACATGACGAAGCCCCGCCCCCTGCTTCCGGCCACCCCGCTTCCGACCCTCATTCAGCCAGGAGGAGGCAGGAGAAGAGGGAGGGTAAGTTGCTTCCTCCCCGCCTCTCCCCACCCCTGCCTGCCTGGGGCCAGGGAGGGCCTTCACGGGGTGTGTGGCCTTATGACACACTTCCGGTGATGCCAGGGGGTGTGGCCTTATGACACGCTTCCGGTGATGTCAGGGGGTGTGGTATATGCTAATGAGTTATGCTAATGAGTTCCCCTAGCTCTTGTTCTACAAAGACCCCTGAATCAATCCTTACTTCCCCTACAGTTAGTGGTGGCATCTAAGTCAGAATTGTTGGATTCCTGCCCCCTTGCAACAAGGTCAGTGTTGTCTTCATAAAGAAGAGGAGGGGTCTGACAGCATTAATGCAGAATTTTGGAACTCTATAGTGATTCTGTTAGAACTGCACGTTTTAGGGCGATCCAGGGCTCCTCGCTTCCACATGGGAAGCTGTTGTGAGAATTTCACTTAAGGAACGTTCCACTAGAGGGCAATATTACGGCGCATTAAACCCGTTTCCGGATGAAAGGAAGAAGAAACATCTCCTCTAAACAGAATAAAGTTTGAGTCCAATGGCACCTTTAAGACCAGCAAAGTTTTATTTAAGGTGCAAGCTTTCGTGTGCAAGCACACTTCCTCAGATAAACTGAAACAAAATTTCTTCAAGCCTTACATACAGGGGTGTGTGTGGAAGCGTCAGGAAGGACCAGTGAGATTTAAGATGCGGAAGTGAAGCTGAGATTGGATCAAGGCGGCAACAGTGTATATTAGATCACTACTCCACAAATTCCTCCTTTGGTAGTGTTACCAGATGTCTTCAGAGGCCATGTCCTCTTTTTTTGGTGTCCATCCTCTTTGGGTCTTTTAAAAAGAAACTGATGAAAATATCCCCTTTTGGGGTTGGAAAGTTAGGAATGTTCCTAGTTAGTAGCGATAATCACAGCTTAAATAGCAGGGGTATTTAAAATGAGATTTGTCATCGTGATCACTTGTTTGAATTAGTAGATCGGGAACAAAGTCCTCTTTTTCGCTTTTCAGAATATAGTAACTATCCTTTAGACTCCATAGCGCTCCTCATTCGCACTCCAAAGCTCAAACCCTGTGCACGGGACTAGCCAAACGCCGCTGCCGTCCAAAAAGCGAATTCCCAGCGTGCAGAATTTGAAAAATGCATACACTTCCGCCCCTTTGCACAGAAAAGATCTCCGTCGCTGCCACGCAGCAGCGCAAGCTTGCAACATACCGCGGAACATGCGCAAGTTTCTGGTACTATTAAGGCAGTTTTGGACTGGACCCCCAAAGATCTCTGTACATTCCGCAAAGGCAGCCCTGCTTTTATTTTTATTTAAGTCTTGTGGCACCTTAACAGATTTTTGTTTGGTAGCTTTGAGCAGCTAACCGTTAAGAGGCCATAAAGACTCTCGGTTTGCCCCGCCTCGCTCCAGATCTGGGGAACAATAAACTGGGAAGACAGCATCAAAGCAACCATCTGACAGCCAGGGGGAAGGGAAAGCCAGAGCCAGCCCAAACTCACTTCCTGTCTGTCGCAGGCTTGTGACGAAAATGGGGGCGGGAGGCTTTGTAAATACAGGCGCTTCATCTTTCCACCTTGCTGTGTTTCCTGCTGTTCCCCCCAAGAAAGCAGCTCCGCCTGCAATGATGCACCGACGGGGGGTCGGAGCCGGGGCCATCGCCAAAAAGAAGTTGGCAGAGGTGAGATTTCGCCCTCGCCCCCCCCCCCCGGCTGAGCTAGGCTGATCTGCCTTCCTCTTCCTCCTCTCTCGCCCTGCCCTTGCAGAGGGCGAGAGGGAATCGGGTTTCCGATGTTGTTCTAAAGGCAAGTTGTACGGTTGCCAGCTTCCAGGTGGCACCTGGAGATCTCCTGCTGTTCCAATTAGGGTTGCCAGCTCTAGGTTGGGAAATACCTGGAGATGTTTGGGGAGGGGAGGGAATTTAATTGGGTATAATGCCATAGAGTTCACCTTCCATAGCAGCTGTTTTCTCCAAGTGAACTGAACTCTGTCACCTGGAGATCAGTTTGTAAATAATACCAGGAGACCTCCAGCCACCACCTGGAGATTTACAAACAAATAAACAGAATAATCTGTTGCGCTGTACAAATCACACTAGGGGCTACTGTCTTCTTATACAGTTCTACTTGTAACCAAAATTAATACCCATAGCAAATAGTTTTGCTACCATGCATAAATGACAACTGCACCAGTTGCATAGTGACCTAATAGTCCTTGAAAGTGCAAGTCTCTCTTCAGATTGGTGTGGTCACCAGCTCATGATGCAGAGAAGAGTTTCCAGAAGAAAGCATGCAATAGATGGCATGAGCTCAGGACTAGCTGTAGTGCGAACCAAAGGAGCGGCTCTGATTCCTAGCTACTTGGAACATACTTGTAGACTTTGTGTCATTTTGAATCTTGCCAGAGCTGGGTTGAACTCCATCACTAAAGAAAAGTGGTCTGATGAAGCCCTAAGAAATGGCAAAGCAACCTAGGCATGCCGTCACTGCTCCTTTGGTTTGCACTTGGGGTTCGCACAGCAAAATAACTTGAGATAGCCCTGCCTTATAGCTAAGCAGAAGGAAATAAACATGGCTTGCCTCGTCTGTTTTCCCCTTCCCTCTTATGCCCCACCAGCCACAGTTGGGACACTCACCTGGAGCTTCCTTCTAGAGCTCATTGTATTGCTTCCCACAATGGGCCTTACTCTTAGTAGAATATAAATATAAAACACTACAAAAACTGCTAGTACAGATCATATAGTGATGGTGAGGCGTTAGGAGCGTTAACGTAATATGGGTACAGTCAGCTAATATCTCAGTCCAGGTCATATTGGCGGAGCACAGGTTGTGGATGATTGTATTGATATTAATATTGAGGCCAGGGCCTTAGTTTGTTAAGTGCAGCTCACTAGTTGAAGGCCTGCTGGAAGAGCTCCATCTTACAGGCCCTGCAGAACTGTAAAAGGTCCCGCAGGGCCCTGATATCTTCCGGGAGCTCATTCCACCAGTGCGGAGCTGCCACTGAGAAGGCCCTGGCTCTCATCGAAGCCAGGCTGGTATCTCTGGGGCCCAGAAGGGCCAAACAATTTTGGGAGCCTGATTGTAGTGTGCCAGGCAATGTGCAACAAAATCATGAGTCCACACAGCATAATCCCAAAACAAAACCTGAAGGAAAACAGCCCCCCTCACAAAGAACCTAGTTGTGAAACTTTATTACACAGTGTCCCAGGACACAACAGGAAAGCACAGTTGTCCACAAGGGGAAGTGCTGTGGGCCTGATCTAATGAAGGTGTTTAGGAAGCATGCAACATGATTGCTGAACTTCCAGAAGGAGAGAGAGGACCGCAGATGTTGTGCCACAGATGAGAAGGCCATATTCTGGGTTCCTGCTAGATAGATTTTGTGAGAGCAAGACACCCACTTGAACTTCTGTGTTGATGACCTTGGAATCCAGACATATGCATATGGGAGAAAAATGTGTTCTTGATATCATTGCGTAGTTAATGTAAAAAAAAATCTGCAACTTTCTGTTGTTGTTTTTTCTCCTCTGTAGGCCAAATACAAGGAACGGGGGACAGTTCTGGCAGAAGACCAATTAGCCCAGGTGAGGTGGGGCTATACTTTTTGGAACTGGAGGGACTGTTGTTGCTTGCATGTAATGAAGGCATTTGTGCCCAATGCTTAATTAACCTGTGGAACCCACTAGCACAGGACATTGTGAGGATTAGGGGCAGAAAATGAAAGGCAAATGGAAGAAGAGTCCACCCAAGTGATAGGCAATCAGTGGACTATAAGGAAATAGCTAATGGGTTGTGAATTGCAAATTTGTAATAAAAGGCTGAAATGGTGTTTGATTTTCATTGTGTCTTTAATAAAAGTATTGTTTGAACAACTTGAAGTTTTGGTGCGGTTTTAATCTCTGTATTGTGCTTGCTGTCATGAAATACATCAAGATGGGTTAGTCTCTCTGTAGCGGCAGTAAAGAACAAGGATCCAGGAGCACCTTAAAGACTAACAAAATTTGTGCTGGGTAGGAGCTTTTGTGAGTCACTGCTCACTTCGTCAGGTATCTGAAACTCATACCCGGCCACAAGTTTTGTTACTCTTTAAGGTGCTACTGAACTCTTGCTCATTTCAACCATTGTGAGATAAGTTACTGATTTGCAACCAGTTAGTTATTTGGTTTCTTTTGTAACTTCTGTTTCATTTTCCTGTTTTGGGTGGTTTGACGACAATTCCCTCCTCCTCCTGATTGCATTGATTAAGATTAAGATTAAGGGCATGCGCTATGACAGCTGCTAATCATCCCCAGAGTGGGAACTTCCCTCTGACCTCTCTGACTGGATGCTGCCAGCAGTTCGAGTGCTGAGATACTGATGAAACATTCTAGGGTTGCCAGCCTCCAGTTGGTGGCTGGAGATCTCCTGCTATCATATCTGATCTCCAGGCAATAGAGGTCAGTTCCCCCTGGAGAAAACAGCGGCTTTGGAAGGTGGACTCTGTGGTATTACGGCCCATTGAAGTCCCTCCCCTCACCAAACTCCGCCCTCCTCTGGCTCCACCCCCAAATCTCTAGGTATTTCCCAACCTGGAGCTGGCCCGAAACCATTCTAACCCACAATGTCTGTCTTTGCTTTCTGACTCCGAACTTGCCACAGATGGTCTTTCATTAACTTTTCTGGGGTCTCCCCTGAGAGAAGTCATCTGGGCTGCCCAAACTGAGTTGGATCCAACCAGCTTTTTCACTGGTGACAAAGCAATCAGGGATCCCTGGGGACCACCAAAAAAGCTATGCTGGGAAATTGTGAGATCTGCATGGACAGGAACCCCTGTGGAAAGGAGGCTGTAAGAAGCCAGGGGAACTGGGCAAGTCTCCGTAAAAAAGCTGGCTAGATTCAACCCGTTATTTTCATTGGGTTGCACTGCTGTGGGGGGTAGTGTTCCCTCTAAGCTGAGTTAGTGTGAGCTAGCTCAAGTTTTTTAGCCCCCGGCTCACACATTTTTGCCTTAGCTCAGGAAGGATGGCTCCAGAGCAAACTGATTAATGCAGTAGCCAAATCGCTCGCTCACAACTTTAATGCCAGTAGCTCACAAAACAGAATTTTTGCTCACAAGACTCCACAGTTTAGAGGGAGCATGGGGGGGGGCACATCTTGGCCAGGAACAACTTAGGTCCGACTCCTGAAGTCATCAGCAGCTGGAAGGGAGGAGTAAGAGTGAAAAGCTAACATCTTCTTTACCCACGGAGAGTCCCAGCCTCTCTGCATTTGAACAGATTCTATTAGAGGCTGCAGAAATTGCTGGAGCCCCTTTCATAGGGTTAAAATACTCATCCGCAGAAATGGAACTGCGCGTCTGAGCTGCTAGTTTGAACTAAGCAGTGCAGTGTGTCAGTGTGGAGGGTCAGTGTGGGGTTCTTTTAAAAAATTTATTATTATATTTCTACCCCGCCCTCCCCGCGAACGGGCTCAGAGCGGCTCACACAGGGTTGTGGTTAGGACCTGGATTCAAATCCCTACTCTGCCACAAAACTCAGTGGGTGTCCTTGGGCTGGTCAACTTTGGTCAGCCTAGCCTATCTCATGGGATCGTTGTGAGGATAAAATGACAGAAGGAGTGTTGTGTAGAGAGACCCAGTGTGGTGTAGTGGTTAAAAGCGGTGGACTCTAATCTGGAGAACTGGGTTCGGTTCCCCATTCCTCCACATGCAGCCAGCTGGTTGACCTTGGGTCAGTCAAAGTTCTCTCAGAGCTGTTCTCTCAAGAGCAGTCCTCGAAGAGCTCTCTCAGCCCCATCTGCCTCACAGGGTGTCTGTTGTGGGGAAAGGAACAGAAGATGACTGTAAGCCTTCCTTTGGGTAGTGAAAAGCAGGGTATAAAAACCAACTCTTCTTCTACTGCTTCTTTCCTGAGCTGCTTTTAGGAAAGACAGGGTAAAAACACATCGGTAGAATGGAATGGTAAAATGCTTTGGGAACCAATCTGATTGCAAAACAGGATATAAATGGGTCAAACAGTTGGCTTCTGATAGATGTCCTGTGTGAAATACAAGCTTCTGATAATTTCCAGATGAATGGAGTGAATGGTACGTCAGCCGGTTCAATGTTTCTCCTTCCTCTTCCATGTCTTTGTTGACAGATGTCCAAGCAGCTGGACACATTTAAAACTAACCTCGAAGAGTTCGCCAGCAAACACAAACAAGAGATCCGTAAAAACCCGCAGTTCAGAGTCCAGTTCCAGGACATGTGTGCAACGATCGGTGTGGATCCGCTCGCCTGTAAGAAATGAGAGAGGCTTGGGGTGGACTGGGATGTGTCTCAGAGGACTTTCAGTACCATCCTGAGCACTGGCAGTCTGCCAAGCAGTGGCTTCAGTGGACTTAAGGGTGTAACTCTGTTTAGGAGGGCGCTGTTTGCATCTTTGCTGCCAGTCTAACTTCCTGGTGCAGGGCTCCTCTCTCAGGTCTTCTGTTTTCCACCAAAAACAGGAATAGTGTTGCTTCCCAAATAGCTGGTTTTACTCTGGCATAGTGTTGTGTTTAGTGCATCAGCCTCGGACAGGGAGATCTGGGGTGAGATTTCCGTGCTGCCCTGGAGGGAAATGGGAACCATGTATGCTGCACTAAGCTTTTGGGTAGAAAGTTGAGGACAAAGCAGAAACAACTGTAGTGCTGATATTATGTGTTGCTAGCTCCCTTAGCTGGGACCGTTGCAGTACAGAGAACAGTTTGGTGTAGTGGTTAGGAGCGCGGACTCTAGTCTGGGAGAATTGGGTTTGATTCCCCACTTCTCCACATGCAGCTGCTGGAGTGACCTTGCGTCAGTCACAGTTTTCTCAGAACTGTTCTCTCTTGAGCCGTTCTCAGAGTTCTCTCAGCCCCACCTACCTCACAGGGTGTCTGTTGTGGAGATGGGAAGGGAAAGGAGATTGTAAACCACTCAGAGACTGCGAGTGAAGGATGAGGTATAAATCCAGTCTCTTCTTCTTTTTCTGCATGTGTTTTGTAGTGAAAATAGATATGAGGGTACTGTGCCAAAGCCACCCAGCACGACAATCTGCATTTTGCAATCTGTTTAGACCAGTGATGGCGAACCTTTTAGAGGCCGAGTGCCCAAACTGCGACCCAAAACCCACTTATTGATCGCAAAGTGCCAACACGGCAATTTAACCTGAACACTGAGGTTTTACTTTAGAAAAAACAACTCATACATTAACTTAAGCTGATCCAAACAAAGTAAGGAAAGCAATCCCAAATGCTTTCATTTACTTAAAATTATTTGGCAGAGAATTCGACACTTTAATGATGGTCTGGGCCTGGCTGGGGCGATGGCACGTGTGCCCACAGAGAGGGCTCTGAGTGCCATAGGTTCGCCACCACTGGTTTAGACAATCTGTATTTCAGGCACAATCTATCCTGTCACATTCCATGGGATTGGTATAAGGCTCAATAGCACTGTGCTGCCCCCTCTGTAATTCTTCGATTCTCCTTTTGGCCTGGTACTTGCCAAGCAAAATGGCTTGGAGGGGGACACTGGCCAGGTTAAAAGAAGCCAGTGGGGTGTTGCCCTTCACTCTTGCCAACTGCCCTCCAAGCAGGAAATAAGATAACTAGCCAGTTTGGTGCAGTGGTTAAGAGCGCAGACTCTCATCTGGGAGAACCGGGTTTGATTCCCCACTCCTCCATGTGCATCTGCTGGTATGACCTTGGGTCAGTTACAGGTTCTTTCACAGCTGTTCTCTCAAGGGCAGTTCTCGGGAGAGCTCTCTCAGCCCCACCTACCTTACAGGGTGTCTGTTGTGGGGAGGGGAAGGGAAAGGAGATTGTCAGCCACTCTGAGACTCCTTTGGGTAATGAAGGGTGGGGTATAAAACCAAATTTCTTCTTCTAAATGAGAGCTCCAAGCAGGGCCGAGGTGAGCTCCTCTGCATCATGGCCGGTGTGTATTTCCTTAAGGAGGCGGAACGTTGGATCTGCCCTGGCTCAGGTTCTGTTTTACTCTCGGTTTATGGGGATCCCAGAGTACATTCAAGTCTGATTGTAGCTGGTGCTCAGTAATTGTATAGTTGTGGCAATGAGGGGAGTGTGTAAAGATGGCAGGTTCTCAGAATTGCGGAATGAGAGGCAACAGTACCACATAAGGGAAGGCCTTTCCTTAGGATGACAGACGGCCATAGGTAGGATCTCTCCTCTTGGCTTCTGAGCTTCAGATGGATGGTTCAGAATCATGAGGACTAGAAGATTTTTTCTTTTAATCTACTGTTGTGGAATTGCATCTGAAAGAGTAGGAATGTGTGCAATCCTATTCATGCTTTCCTTTTGTCCTCTTTCTGCAGCCGGTAAAGGATTCTGGTCTGAAATGTTAGGTGTCGGTGATTTTTACTATGAGCTGGGGGTCCAGATTATCGAAGTCTGCCTGGCTCTGAAGCACAGGAACGGAGGTGAGGCGGGCGGCTGCTCATTTACAGGCCCAGTGTCTCTGTTTCTCTTGTTGTCACTCTCCTTCTTGCCTGTTCTCCACTCTACAGGTTGATCATTTGCAAGCTTTTTGGCTGCACTAGAGGGCCCCTCCTCGAAACATGGTTATTATTTCCTGTTGTACGTCAAACAGCACCTTTCCATATAGAACGTTTTTAAGGTCGCTAACGGTAAATAAATAACTGAACCCAGTATTAATGATAAGCCCTGACCTGGATGGCCCAAGCGAGCCCTATCTTGTTAGGGCTCAGAAGCTAAGCAGGGTCGGCCCTGGTTAGTACTTGGATGGGAGACCACCCAGGAAGTGCAGGGTTGCTGTGCAGAGGCAGGCAATGAAGATAACAATACAGGGGTTGCAGTATCAAAAACTAATAACAACAGAAATACTGCAATTGTGCATAAATGTTGTGACGACCCCTTTACTGGGGAGGTCTGGTTTCCCTTTAAAAGTGTTCTTTATGTTTTTCTCTACTGGGTAATCCGGCTGCCACCAGGAAATTTAAGGCTTTCCAAACCTTTATAATATAATATTCATCACTGGGTAGGTATATCGAGGGTTTAGGCTTTCATGAGGATCTATGTGTTTTCTGGGAAGAATTTCTTTCAGAACTGGTATCTTAAATAAAAGTAGATTTATTGATATTTCACACACTTTTCTCTCCCACTGTCAGGGATCTGGGCATGTAACTTTGTAACACTTTTTTCTTTAAGTCCATATAATCTTTACTGTTTCCTAGACACTCAGCTTCAGCTTATAACTGTTTCAACACAGAACTGCTTGTCACTTTCTTTCAGACACAGCACTTAACTCTCATATCACACACAAGAAGGTCTCTCCTTCAGACCCCAGAACTAAACTCATCCTACACAGGGATGCTTCACTCTTCTCCCTGTCACAGAACTTAACTGATCTTCTGCTTCTCTCACAGAAATCAGAACTAAAACTGCTTAACTGAACATCAACTGTCTTCATCAATATCTGCTCATCCACACAGAATCATTTCCAAAACCCCTCCCCCTCTCTGTCACTCACCAATCACACCACTTGCTTGTTTCCACTACTCTAGACTATCATACAGCCATGCATCCAAATTTTAAAAAGACACACACACATAAACAAGGAATCGTTACACATGTCTTTACAGATAATAACAAATGATGAAATGATGGACGAAACTCTCCGGAATAGCTTCCGTTTGGTGAGCCTTCTTCTTACGTCAGTCAACCTACTGAATACATTTTACAGTCAATGTTCCATCAAGGAATAAACCAAGCCTCAATTTCAAAATGTTACCAACACTTCATACATACGATCAGTTTTCTTCACTTCACTTCATATCATCAGTTGTCTTCTTCACTTCATATCATATTCACTTCATACAACTGATCGTATGTATGAAGTGGTGGTAACATTTTGAAATTGAGGCTTGGTTTATTCCTTGATGGAACATTGACTGTAAAATGTATTCAATAGGTTGATTTAACATAAGAAGAAGGCTCACAAAACGGAAGTTATTCCGGAGAGTTTCGTCCATCATGTCATCATTTGTTATTATCTGTAAAGACATGAAATTAATGTTATACTGAATGTATATGTTTTTGTATGCTCATAGGATTATAAAGAATTTATGAATATATGTATGCACAATTGCAGTATTTCTGTTGTTATCAGAGGCAGGCAATGGCAAGCCACTTCCGTTTGTCTCTTGCCCTGAAAAACCTATGGGGTCACCATAAGTTGGCTGCTTCCTGACACCGCTTTTCATCACCATTAATGAAAACCAATAAAGCACTCAGTCATAATATAGTTCATTAGAAACCAATTGTCAAGTTCCCTGGTTGCTAAAGACAGACGTATCCAGAGCCTGTAACAGAGAATGAGAGGGTCTGTGCACACCTTCGTCCTTCCCGATTTGCCACAGCCTTCATAGAGTAGCCATCTCCCTCAAAAAGATTGGGGATCCATGGTTATGACCAAGGCTCCCTCTAAGGTGTGGAGTCTTGTGAGCAAAAAATTCCACTTTGTGAGCTACTGGCATTAAAGTTGTGAGTGAGCAATTTGGCTTCTGCATAAGTTAGTCTGCTCTGGGGCCCTCCTTCCTGAGCGAAGACAAAAATGTGTGAGCTGGAAGCTAAAAAACTATGAGCTAGCTCACACTAACTCAGCTTAGAGGGAGCACTGTTTATGACTCAGGATAACACAGTGTCGTGCTTTCCTTCTGTTCTGTAAGCCCATCGGTGCGTGCCTTCCCCTCCCTCCTCTGTTGTGTTTTATAACCCTTTCCACTCCGCCGTTCGTTCTTCTGCAACAGTGTGCCAGATGCACATAACAGAGCCGAGCAGAGGCCGCTGGACATTAACCTGCTTCCTGCCTGTTCGTTCCAACTAGGATTAATAACTCTGGAGGAGCTCCATCAGCAAGTGCTGAAAGGCAGAGGAAAGTTCGCTCAAGACGTCAGCCAGTAAGCATCACGTTTATGACTCTGTGTGCTGGGACTGCGTAGACAGAGGGCAAAACAAATGAAACCTGTCAAGTCGGCTGCCTGGCTTGAACTCGACCATTTGTTCAGTCCAGTTCCAGGCCTTCCTGGGGCCTGAGGGATCTTTCTCTGGCGAAGCCTCTTCAGTCAGAGGAAGGCTTCTTGGGCCAGAGATGGGCTTCCGACTTGGCTGGGCGGAGTGGTAGGGTATGAGCCAGTAAGCTCAGTTTGCAGAATTATGTGTGCAGAATTCTTGTGGCAAAGCCCAGGGGAGGAGTAGGGAAGAGGGGGCTCCATTGCATGTAAATTTACATGCTCCATTTGTGTAAATTTTGGCCCAGCTCCTGTGAAACATGAGAACTGTCTGCCCTCGCTCCAAGCAACCCCGTGACCTCTGAAAAGCTGTTGCTGGGGATTGGGGGTGGGGGGGAGGAATTGGGTCCAGTCACTTCCCCTTCACTGCGGCAGAGCAACATAAGAACATAAGAGAAGCCAATGTTGGATCAGGCCAGTGGCCCATCCAGTCTGTCACACAGTGGCCAAAAATATCAGGTGCCATCAGGAGGTCCAGCAGTGGGGCCAGGACACTAGAAGCCCTCCCACTGTGTCCCCCCCCCAGCACCAAGAATACAGAGTATCACTTGCCCCAGATGGAGGGTTCCTATCTATACCTTGTGGCTAATAGCCACCGATAGACTTCTGCTCCATATGTTTATCCAATTCCCTCTTGAAGCTGTCCATGCTTGTAGCCGCCGCCACCTCCTGTGGCAGTGAATTCCATGTGTTAATCACTCTTTGGGTGAAGAAGTACTTCCTTTTATCCGTTCTAACCCGACTGCTCAGCAATTTCATTGAGTGCCCACGAGTTCTTGTATTGTGAGAAAGGGGGAAAAGTATTTCTTTCTCGACCTGCTCTATCCCACGCATAATCTTGTAAACCTCAATCGTTTCACCCCTCGGTTGTTGTTTCTCCACGCTAAAGAGCCCCAAGCGCTTTAACCTTTCTTCATAGGGAAAAGTGTTCCAGCCTTTTATCATCCTAGTTGCCCTTTATGCAGTTTTCCCAATGCTATAATATCCTTTTTGAGGTGTGGTGACCAGAACTGTACACAGTACTCCAAATGAGATCGCACCATTGATTTATACTGGGGCATTATGATCCTGGCTGATTTGCAATCTTTCTGTGCAAGCAGGAGGGGCTGTGGCTCAGTGGCAGAGCACCTGTTTGGCATATAAAAGGTCCCAGGTCCAATCCCTGGTATCTCCAGTTAAAAGGACTGGGCAGTAAGTGATGTGAAAGACCTCTGCCTGAGACCCTGGAGAGTTGCTGCCAGTCTGAGTAGACAACACTGACCTTGATGGACCAAGAGTCTGATTCAGTATAAGGCGGCTTCATGTCACCTGATTTCCTCCTTTTTTCTGCAGCCTCTGCATAGCAGTTCTCTCCATGGAGTTCCCCCAGCCAGCCTCATCAGCCTTAAAGGCACAGTCCCACAAGAATTTCTCCTGTAAATGCTTTTTTTGATCATTTTTAAACCTTTTTTAAAGGCATGCACTCCTTTAAGCAAAGTGGGGCGCTGTAGTTGACTAATTCCCGCACTGAGCAAGGGGGTTGGAGTAGGTGACCTCGAGGATCGCTTCTAACTCTGTGTCAAGAAACTGTTCTCCTTTAAGAGCGTTTTTCTTCCTAAGTGTTAGCTTTCTTGACTGTAGAAGTCATCGCCCCCACCTGCCGGCTTGTTCTCAGAGTTGTTGCTTAGGCAGGCAGAAGTGATTAACTTGCAGCAGCTGAGAACTGTCATCTGAAGTGGTTGACAGCTTGCAGTTTAGAGCTCTGTCCTGGTAACTGCCTTCTATTGACTAAATGGCCTTTCTTTCTACACTATGAACTTCGGCCCCACCAGAAAAAAACGTACCCCATAAGCCACATGCCTGCTTGGTGGGTTCTTGAATTCTGCCTCTTCCTACTTGCAATCTTGGGTCTAATTTGTCAGTCGGCTTCTCAGCCTCCCTCTTGTAGTTCTTTTTATTTTGCTCAGTAACATTCTTCACTTTTCAAGCTACTGTTCTGATCTTGCCGATCATATGTAGAAGGTATTCCTCTCCTGCTGGAAAACGTATTCCACCCCCTCTGAGGTTACTGAGGTTTCAGCAGGTGGTGTGCTTTCACCTTGAAACATAATTTCATATCCACAAGGACTAGAAGCTTGATTCATTTTTTTAAAGAATGAAAGCTTGAACATCTGCGGAAGTTCAGTTCTGTACCCATTGCTGCTTTTTCTTTTGGCTTCTCTGTGCTTTCTTACAATCACAGCATAAACAGAGCTCAGGGGTATCGTGGAGAATGGCAGTACTCACGTGTCAACCTAGCCTGACTCTTCCTCTTCCTATTCCCCAGGGACGACCTCATCCGCGCAATTAAGAAGCTGAAAGTTCTCGGAAACGGCTTTGGGATCCTTCCTGTGGGCGGAACCTACCTGATCCAGTCTGTGCCTGCTGCACTGAACATGGATCACACCCGCGTGAGCTGAGGTACCTGTGTCTGGAGAAGACCAACCGGAACAAAACTGGCCTGGCTCTCTTGTCTGAAGTCAGGGATCTCCACCGGGGTGCCCACCATTGTGTTCTTCTGGTGCCCACATCCTCCTGCTCCCAAAAATCTGTCCTCAAGCAAAGAGCTAATCTTGGCTTTCCTCCACGTCACTGGCGCAGGAGTGGGTTTGGAAAACAGCTAGCTCCGTTATGGGAGAACTTGCCAACTTTTATTGGTTGCTCCTCCCCTTAGCAGCCATTTTGTGGTGGGGCTCATTTCCCTTTTCTCAAACTTCCAGAAGCACCCACTGGTTCAACAAATTTGGGGACCCTCTGCGGTCTTGGGAAGCTGTGCCTTGACAAGGGATGTGTCTGCATAATGCAATTTGAAATGTTCTAGTGGTTGAAATTTGGATGGGTGTCTATTTTCCCATTGTGGATCTGTAGTTTTGTGAACGTGGCTGGGGAATCCTCGATAGAGGTATCTCCGCATTTTCCCAGAACTAAGTTTCCCAGGGTCCTGCAGGAGGAAAGCTGGGACTCTTAAACTTTATGAAAACCAGTCTGAGGGCTGCCTGCTACCAGGCATATCTCCTGTAACATGGAGTTCATGAAATAATTTCTTTGTGTTCCATTTACCTGCAGTGACAGCCCATAAATGATAACAGGGTAGGGGTTTGAACTGGATGCCTTTCCCAAGCTTCGCTTTTACCCGGAATAACCTTGGGCCCTCAGGTGTGCAAACCGGGGGCTCTACCACTGACCCTATAGACTGGTGTGCGTGAAATGTCTCTTCTGTGTTTAAGCAGAGCTCAGAGCCTTCTTTACAAATGGCCTCTGATGTAGACCTGCTTGCTTTGTTCTCTGTTCCAGAAAAAGGGGTACGTGACCATCAGCGAAATCCAATCCAGTTTGAAATGGGAAGCGCAGCGAGCCAAGCAGGTGCTGGTAGGTAAACTATTTGATGGTTCCTAGGAAGGGAACTCAAAGTGCAGGGAAAGCACGTGTCGCATGCAGAATAGCTAAACGTGCGTATAGATCTTTTAGTGTCTAAAGGGACAATAATACCTATTGCTTACTGTAATATCTGCACAGTAAGCAGTAGGTATTATTGTCCCTATAACAGGGGTCACGAACGTGGTGCCTATGGGCGTCGCAGCGCCCGCCAACACCTTTCCTGGTGCCCGCCAAGTGTTTTTAGAAAGTGGGCAGGACCAGGTGGGGATTTTAGCCAGCAAGACTTCTCCCCATTGGACATTTGATTGACTGTGCAGATGATTCAGAACATTGCTTTTTGGGTTCCCAGCCCCCAGGTGGAAGCAGGGGATCCCCCAATTTCACGGGCTCTTGGCCAGCGGGGGAAGCGCCAACCCCAGCAACTACCCCCTGGCATGACATCCCCAACGTGATGATGTCACGCGGAAGTGATGTAATCCGGGCTCTTGGCCAGCGGGGGAAGCCCCAACCCCAAGAACTACCCCCTGGCATGACATCCCCCATGTGATGATGTCACGCGGAAGTGATGTAATCATGCCCGGGATGTTGCATGGCAACGCTCTGTTATTTGGGGCAAAACTCTATGATAACCATAGCGTTAGCTTCTGAGCTCTGGCAGGATTGGGCTAGCCTGGGCTATCCAGGTCAGGGCAATCAACAAAGCTTGTGTTGGAATCATGGGAACCGGGTGGACCAAAGCGATCTGGGACAAGGGGCCACAGGGAAGAGGGGAATTGGGTGAAAGCCAGGTAGGAAAAGGTAGAATCCCTTTGTATCTATAGCTGAGAAATAGCCCCACAGGCTTAAGAACATTTCAGGATCGAATTGCCTTGACCCCAAATCGAGCAGCAGCTTTGGCCTTAGTTGTGAGGTATGCAAGTATCTGTTTCTCTAGGATCGAATTGCCTTCAGCAGCAGCTTCGGCCTCAGTTGTGAGGTATGCAAGTATCTGTTTCTCACCAGGCGTGAGTGAAACAGAATGTCATGTAACGGCTTTTTAGTCCAGAAGAGGGAAACCAGAATGGTGAGAGGGTTGGAATCAAAGTCTTATGAGGAAAGGCTGAAAGATCTGGGGTATGTTTATCCTGGGAAAGAGAAGGCTTAGAGGGGACATGATTGCAGTCTTCAAATATTTGAAGGGTTGTCATGTAGAAGATGGAGCAGATCTATTCTCTCTTGCTCCGGATTGCAAGACTAGATCTAATGGGTGAAAATTACAAGGGAGTTGATACCGGCTAAATATCTGGAGAAACTTCCTAACTGTAAGAGTGGTTGAGCAGGTGGTGGATGCTCCTTCGCTGGATGTTTTCAAGCGGAGGCTGGACAACCATCTTTCAGCTATCTTTCGGCTCTGCTCCTGCAGAGTGCAGGGGGTTGGACTAGATGACCTGCAAGGTCCCTTCCAACTCTAACATTCTATGATTCTATGATGTGAGATGTAGTTCAGCATGAAGAAATCCTGTGGAGCACGTTCTTAAGTGGCTCTCCAGAAGGCACAGTATGGAAGTTTGAGCTGTGAGCACAAAAAAGATCAAGATCTGCTCACAAAATATAGTTCACTGGATAGGTGCTCCGTGATCTCTATATGAATAATGCCTCTTTTCCTGCTCAAGGTGTCCTTGCAGATTCCATCAGCCCAAGACAGCTAACTAGACAGTGGTCCAGTCACATGATAGTCTGCAGGGCTCTTCTTCAGAAAGAAAATGCAATCTTTACATTAAGGTATATTGGAGAGGTCGGCGGGACGCTAGACTAGCCAGTATGTGAAAGGAACGGCAGGGCAAGATTTCGATTTGACTAATGAGCTTCTTAGAGATAACTTTACAGAAAGGGAAGTGAGAGAGGTAAACAGTTGCCATTAGTCCAAGTGTGAACCATGCACGGGTTTTTATGCCAGTGTGCTAAAAATCACACCAGTGGCTCCTGTTTATTGATGAGGAAGTGGCATGCAGAAGAACAAAGGTCTCACAACAAGCCAGTGTTTAGCCTGCGGAAACTGCATGGATTTACTAACCCACATGCCAGTTCTCTGAATGTTCCATTGTGTAGCTTCAGTGATCACAAGTGAGCTTTCTTACATCAGCTATTGATCTGCTCTGGATTTTGACCTACTTTGGATCGAACTGTAAAAGGCTGCAGACCCTCTGGCATAGCATTGCTGACCTGCAGTTTGGTGCAGTGGTTAAGTGCGCGGACTCTAATCTGGGAGAACTAGGTTTGATTCCCCACTCCTCCACTTGCGGCTGCTGGATGACCTTGGGCAAGCCATGGTTCTGTCAGAGCTGTTCCCTCAAGGACAGTTCTCTGAGCTCTCTCATCCCCAGCTGCCTCATAAGGTGGCTGTTGTGGGGAGGGGAAGGGAAAGGAGTTTGTAAGCCGCTCTGAGACTCCGAGTGAAGGGCTGGATGTAAATCCAGTCTCCTCCTCCTCCTCCTGCAGGTGGCGGCTGGAGATATCCTGGGATTACCGCTGATCTCCAGGTGGCAGAGATCAGTTCACCTGGAGGAAATGGCTGCTTTGGAAGGTGGACTCTGTGGCACTATAGACCACTGAAGTCCCTCCCTTCCCCAAACCCTTTTTCAGACTCCAACCCCCAATCTCCAGGTATTTCCCAACCCAGAGCTGGCGACCCTACCCTGGCACAGGTTCTTAAATAGGAAACCTCTCTAGTTTCAAACGCTCCATTCTTTTTTCTTGCCTACAATTGGGGAAAGACCATCTAATGACCAGATACCACTTGGGACAGACCTCTTCCCGACTGTGTTAGGAAATAAATTGCATGAAGGTCTGGAGAACCGCTTCCAAATTTTTTTTGTGTGCGTGTGTGTTTAACAGGACCACTTGCTGAAAGAAGGGATGGCCTGGCTTGACACGCAAGCCCCAACAGAACCCCAGTACTGGCTCCCTGCCCTCTTCACAGAACTTTACTCTCAGGAAATCACGCCAGAAGAAGCAAAAGAAGCTTTGCCCTGAGGACCAGGAAGGAAACAGAATTACCTGCGCTTCATTTAATGGAGTGGTGCTATCGTTGGTTGTTAACCAAGTGAAACAACTAAAAAAAAAATTGAGTTGTATCTAACTCCTTGTAAAAATTAAAGGAAAAAGGGTCTTGTTAAGAAAATGTCTGCACGACCATATTCTTACCTTCAGCAGGTATGGCCAAGCAGGAGTTTAAATTAAGAAGACGACGACGACGAAGAAGAGATTGGATTTATACCCTGCCCTTCACTACCCAAAGGAGTCTCAAAACGGTTTACATTTGCCCTTCCCCTCCCCAGAACAGACACCCTGTGAGGTAGGTGGGGCTGAGAGAGCTCTTGTGAGAACTGCTCTGAAAGACCTTGTAACTGACCCAAGGTCACTCCAGCAGCTGCATGTGGAGGAGTGCGGAATTAGAGTCCACGCTCCTAACCACTACACCAAACTGAAGACCTCTCTTTGAAAGAAGCAGTTGGAAGAATATAGAGCCCCTCCCTTCCCAGGTAAAGTAACTGTTTTCAGGATGGAGTAGGAGTTGGTATACTTGGTCAGAGGTCCCCAACCTTTTTGAGCCTGTGGGCACATTTGGAATTCTGACATGGTGTGGTCGGTGCTACAAAATGGTGGAGGCGGAGTCAGCCACAAAATGATGGCCACAGCTTAAATTCAGGAACACAGTGTAGATTCTTGTGCTGTGGTGGCAGGTGCTGCGAAAGCAACATTTTAAAAAAATCCACACAGCCAATCAGAATCCTTGCTGGGGAAAGCCTCGCCCACTTCCTAAAAACACTTGGCAGGCACCAGAAAAGGTGTCGGCAGGTACCATGGCTCCCAGGGGCACCATGTTGAGGACTCCTGTACTAGGTGATTTTCTCCCCTCCCCCATTTCCATGATTGTGGAATAAGATTCATCTGTCTTATTCTCTTCAGAAAGTGGGAGGGGCCTTTACAAGACAGGGCTTATTATTGGCTGCCTTCATTCAAAGGAAACAAAGGAAATTCAAAGGAAGCAATAGCATCAGTTTGGTGTAGTGGTTAAGAGCAGCGAACTCTAATCTGGAGAACCAGGTTTGATTCCCCCAGTCCTCCACATACAGCCAGCTGGGTGACCTTGGGTCAGTCACAGTTCTCTCAGAGCTGCTCTCTCACAGGGTGTCTGTTGTGGGAAGGGAAGGAGATTGTAAGCCCCCCTGAGACTCCGAGTGAAGGGCAGGGTATAAATCCAATCTCTTCTTCTTTAGTTGCCTCTGGAGGACTAGCAAGCATCCAAATTTGTGCTTCCATTCCCCTTTCTGGGTTATTTTCTTTTTATTCTCCCTTCCCCCCCTCCCCCGAGGGGGCTCTCTTTCATTTCTTTTTATTCCTCTTCTGCAGTTGTTTTGCAAAGTGTGACAACTAGTTGGATTTGCCTCCCATGGTAGCCACTGTGGGGTGGCACTCACTGCATCCTCTCAAAATTCCTGAAGCGTCTGCAGACTCAAAGTGCTTGGGGGGTCCCTGGTTTAAGGCTTGTCACACGCTTCAGAATTCGGCTGAAAAGGGTCACATATACTCAGATGTCTCTGCTGATTCAAGTCTCCCTCCAGAGTGTGCCTAAAAACTAAACTGATCTGATGCCGATCTGGCAAAAACACATGGGCACAGGGAAGGGGTTTTAGTGGTTCCTGTCAGTCTGGGACCTGGAACAACCAGGTTCAGATCTCTGTTTTATCCTGTGTGAAGTAGGTTAGGCTGAGAGTTGGTGACTGGGGCCAGTAACACATTACTGTGACCTTGAGTTGGGTGGCCAGTCACACATTCTCAGCCTAAGCTTCCTCACAGGAGAGGAGAACAATGTCTTACAACTGTTTTGGGTTCCCATTAAGGAGAAAAGAAGAGCATAAATCAAATAGGTTGTGAGCAGTGTTCCCTCTGAACTGAGTTAGTGCTAGCTCACAGTTTCTTAGCCTCCGGCTCACACTTTTTGGTCTTCGCTCAGGAAGGATGGCTCCAGAGCATCCTAATTTATGCAGTAGCCAAATCGTTCACACACAACTTTAATGCCAGGAGCTCACAAAGTAGAATTTTTGCTCACAAGGCTCCACAGCTTAGAGGGAACATTGGTTGTGAGGACACAAAAGGAGAGTGCTATGTATTGTATACCGCTCTGAGCTGCTTGGAAGGAGCGTGAGAGAGAAGATAGAGGGTTGGATCGAGCGAAACGTCCCCTCGTGCTACAGTTTTTGCAAAAGCAGCCACAAAGAAAAGACCACGGTAGACACTTGGGCCAAGTCAAACTGATTGTGTCCCTCACTTGTTCAAGATCTTGTGCCACCAGTTCTGGGGAGTATATAGGGAGGAAAGTGCCAGGCAATGCAGAGATCTTGCACATGCAGACCTGAGCTAAGTCGGTTTATTTAATTTCTAACCTGCCCTCCCCTACAAGTGAGCTCAGGGCAGTTTACAACAAATTCAACAGAATTTTTTTAAAAACCATATTTAAAACAATCGAGCAATAGTCCAATTTAAACCCCAATAGCATAACCACAAGATGGCAAAAGCATTGCAGAAGCTTCCCAGAAGGCATTAAGTGGATGCTCAGGTGGAACAGTTGTGATTGGGGGAAAGGTACGAAATCCCATTAAGATGGAAGGAAGGGGACAGGTGGAGCAGGGGAGGCCAATAGAACTGGAAACCTGCTGCCTCACCCAAAGGCCTGGCAAAACAACTCCATCTTGCAGGCCCTGTGGAACTGTAGTATGTCCCGCAGGGCCCTGATCTCCCTTTGGAAGGAGTTCCACCAGGTTGGGGCCAGGGCCAAAAAGGCCTTGCTTGAGGCTAAACAGACATCTTTGGGGTTGGGGACCACCAGAAGATGCTGTTTGGAGGAGCATAAGGCTCGCTGGGGGGCATATAGGGAGAGTTGGTCCTGCAGGTATGATGGTCCCAGACCGCAGAGTTGTCAAACATGCAGCCCGGGGGCTGGATCAGGCCCCCGGTGGAACTGGCTGTCTTCTGCTTCTTCCAGTTCAGCTGCTGCTGCGTCATTGTAGGTTTCGGGCTTACAGATACACACCTGAACAGCATACTCAAGATTGCAACAGCACTAGGGCTCCCAAATCGCGGCGGGGGTTCCGCATGTCTTTGCAGAATCCGTGCCACGGGGACAGCGAGACGCGTTGCACCGCCGTCGCCAGGACATGACGCTACGCGTCGCTCTGGCGGGTGCAACGCATCTCGCTGTCCCCGCGGCATGGATTCTGCAAAGACACACGATCCCCCGCCGCGACTTGGCAACCCTAAACAGCACAGACATTTTGGTGTAATAATTCAGAGCAAGAGGTGTCAGTTATCAGACACTGTTAAATAAAATATTGCAAGAGTGCTAATGTTTTAAGTATGTTTTTATTTTAAGTAAAAAAAAAAAACACCACCACCCTTTGTGTTTGTGTCCTTTATGAAGTTTTTATCTCCGCTACCTGGCATTACATTTTACGACACACGTGGCCCGGCCCAACGAGGTCTCATTTATGTCAGATCCGGCCCTCATAACAAATGAGTTCGACACCCCTGGCATAGGGCTTTAACCTTTACCTGACCCTGTACTCGACTGGCAACCGGTGCAGCTGGGCGCAGACCAGCCAGGGCCAGCCCTGCTTCGCTTCCGAGATCTGATGCGATCCGAGCTAGCCGGGGCCATCCAGGGCAAGGCAGCCGTTGTTTTACTGCCCCAGAAAGACGTAGGGGAAAAAAGAAGCCTTCTAATTCTGCCAAAACAAACTTTATTGCACAAAAAAACTGTATGTACAATTGTATATAAACAAGGTTTCTTTATTACCCTTGCGCATTCTTTTTAGCTTGTTAGGCCTAAAAATTCTGTCACTAAACTTTTGTCTAGCTCAGTCATCTAGGATTGTCACTTTTGAAAATGGACACATTCAGAAAACAGATGGCTATGGGGCAGCCAGAAAACCATATTCCTTTGTTTCTTACACCCACATGCGAGCTGTGTTGTTGTTGTTGTTGTTTAAAAAAAAGAATTAACCACATAAGGCATTTTCATGTTTTGTTCTGAAACAGAAATGTATATGAAATGGTTCAACAGCCAGCATGCATCTGAAATGGAGATCAGAGAATCACAAGCGCTCCGTACCTGGAGCGCCTCTAACCTTGGTGACTACAGACTGGGGGAGAGCCAAATATACACATCGATGCAGTCCAGAGAATATTCGGCCTGCCTAAATCCTATTGACTGCAGTGGGACTTAGAGAGCTTAACCAATGCCCCAAGCCCCACTGATTTCAACGGCGATTCAAGCACAATTAACTTTTGCTGGATCACACCCAAGGAGATTAAAACAAACATGATCAGTTGGCTTACCTCGTGAAGGCTCCTCCACAAGGCATCTAAATCCAAAGTTACACTAGAAATCTTGACACACACACACACACACACACACACCCCTGCAAAGCTTCCAAACCCTCTCTCTCCCTCCCTAGAAAGATGTACTTCCAGAACTAAACAGGTTTGCTAGATAGCTGGATTACTGTAACTGCTTCACAATTCAATTTGCAGAGGGGCGTGCTTTTCAGACTGCAACCTCCTCTGTTTTTACCACTAGGAAATAATCTTGAGAGAAGGGATTTACAGCAAGTTACTCTCTCGTGTACTGTGTGGAACTCTGTACTTCCACTTGCAAAAAGAATACTTCATCCTTCAAACACAGCGTTTTTGACAGCTCTGTTCCCTTCCCAAGCGTACAGTCCCACTTGGACTGACGTCTCCCCAAGCGTCTTCTGTCTCCCGCTTCCTTCTGACGCCAGACTCCAGACCCTGCTCCCGAAAGATGGGGCGTATGAGTTGCACAGACAGCAAAGCCTGCCGTTGCATCACCTGCGCTTCGAATTAGCACTGCCTTTTAAAACTGCCATAACTAAATATGCCTGCTCTCTTCTCTCCTGCGAGAGGCATCCATTGGTCACACAGAACTGGCTCTCTCTCTCTCTGTAACCTTCCCTTTTCCTGAATCATCAAGCTTACAAAGCTCCCCCCCCCCCGCCCCAATTATATGGAACTTACAAAAAAGGGGAGGATGAACCAGCAGAATTATAATAACGAGGACCACCAAAAGCAATTCCTAATTGAACTGGGAGAAGTTGACCTTGGAAGGTTGCTTACAAGGAAGAAACGTGTGTAAATGGAGGGTTTTTCCCTTGTGTTTCTTTTACCCTTTTCCTGCCTGAATCTGTTACTGGGTTGGGTGGGTTAGAACAGAGTAAAGCTTTGACATTTTTTTTAAAAAACCACCTTAAAGCCCATCTAGTGTCCAGCAGAAGTTACTCCTCTTTGGTCTGTCTAGGACAGGCAACACCAACCCCTACTGGGATGCCACAACCAAACATTAAAAGGAGGGGGAGGAGGGGCTCATCACAAACGGTCAAAAGTGCTTTTTCACAGGCTCTGGTTGCTGTGAGTCTACTGTGGTGCGGGAGCCGGCTGGGAAGATGCAGTATGTTGTGAAACGAAGACGACAGGACGAGGAGTCATGCTCTACACAACCTCATGCTCTTTTCGAATCGAGGGGGGACCAAAAAAAAAAACCCTACCCGCTCCCCACCCCCACCACGGTAGCTTCCAGAATACCACTTTATGCCAAGGTGTTCCTGGGTCTCCAGCAGAGAATGGACCATTTTGCAAAAAGAAAAAGAAAAGTCGCTCGTCGCGAGTCCGGTTCGGTTTAGCATCGAATCCTCTCTTAGTTTGACGGCATCGGTCCGGAGCGCTAGAGGAGGCGAGGGAACAAAGTGACGCTGCTCCATCCGTGCTCGCTCCGCTCTGGATCCAGCCGGGTCTCTCGGGGGGGGGGGGGGCCCCACAGGGCCAGGAGTCAGAAGCTCCCACCGTCGCTTCTTGGGTTTCCCCCAACAAATC